GAGGGCACCGAGGCCCCACCGGAGGCCAAGGAGGCCCCGCTGGTCCCGCGGGGGGGGGCTGCCAACAAGACCCCAGCGCCCACACCAGCCCTGGAGGAGACGGAGAGCGAGAACCTGAAGCCCATCGTTATCGATGGCAGCAACGTGGCCATGAGGTGTGCTTGGGTCTGGGGGGCGCGAGGGTCTCACCGGGGCTGCTGGCGCCCGTCACGGTGGTGTGGTGAGTGGGGGTTCGTGTCACGTCTGGTTATTAGACGTGGGGTCTGAAAACCTGTGGGTTCTCACTGAAAACAGCGGCTGGTGGATGGCCTGGGAGGGGGTGGGGGTATTTTTTTTTTTTGCCTGCACGGTCTCACGAGGTGAGCGTTGCGTTTGCAGAGGGTGGCTGCCTTGACGGCCTCTCCTGCCCACGGTCCCTGCCTGTCCCGGCAGTCACGGGGCTCTGACAAGAGCGGGCGTGCGTCTTGGGAAATGGAGACGTTTCCTCCTATTTTCTAGCTTATGAGAAGGATAACTGAAGATACATTGTCCTCTTACCTAATGGCTTTATGTAAGTTTCTGTAGCAGGAAGTTGCTCAATAAATAATTACAGGGTTAATTAGAGAAGGCTTTGTAATATGGAGCTGTCTCCTGCATTGGAGACCATTCTCCAAATTACGACTCTTGTATTTTGGCTGAATTTCCGTATGGTGTAGAGCATGGCTGGGATCTTGATCTTTGATCTTTTGAGGTCCCTTCCAATCCCTAACCTTCTGTGGATCCCAAGGGGTCACTCAGGTATGCGGTGTCACCAAGGCTGGGCTGCCACATCCTCAGTGTCTCGGGTGTTCTGGGGCTGATGGTGCAGGTCCTGTCAGGCACCACAACCAGAGGCAGCCTGGGAGGCCGCTTGAGTTGGAGCAGTAGCTGGGGAGCGCAGGAGCACTGATACCCATGGAGCACCCAGAATCTCTTCTGGCTTGATGTCCCCACTCAATTTCAGTCTCAGTTTATTGGCTTGGTGTCCCTACTTTCACCTCGGCTCTTGCTCCCCATGATGGCGAGCGTTGCTTGTCCCCACCCCAGCCCCTGGTGCTGTGCTCCCCCCTCTGCACAGGGGCTGGGCTCTATTAATTCAACACACCAGGTTTCCTAGTTGGGCTTTGTTGCTGCAGTTCAAAAGCAAACCTCCTTGCTGTAGTTTTGGCTTAGATCTTGTAACGTGTTTGTGTACACAGAGCTCTTCATGCAAGGAGAAAACCCCAAAACCCAAACCCAAACAGGGCGCACGTGGAGCTGCTGCGTGCATCGCTGTGACTTGGTCTAGGGTGGAAGCGCTGAGCGGAGCTCTGCTCGCTGCTGCGGCTTTCTCTGAGCTGCGGCTGTCGGTTCTGGGAACAGCAGCGAGCGGGGCTGGGGCACAGTCTGCTGTGCCACACGCCAGAGCTGCGAGCCCCAAGGAGCCCTGGTGGCCACAGCAGAGGGAGAGATGTGACCTGGGCTGCAGCAGAGCACGGCCCTGTGGCTCTGAGGAAAACGGCCCCTTGAGAGGCCTGGGCTGATACGTGACTTCCAGTGACATTTACCTTAGATAAGGGCTCAGGCTTAAACAACTGAGTCAGCTGTGGGTTTTGAATGAGGAGCGTCTCGCTGTGAAAGTCATCCCGAAGAGCATGAAAGTTGTCCCAAAAAAGCGCAGGAGCGACCACAGCAGCTGTGAGTCAGGGTGGGCCGGGCAGTGAGAGCGCTGCCGGGATGGGGTTTGACATGAGAAAAGCAGTTTGGCTTTTTTAAGCAATTCGCTAGAAGGGGAATTCCATTCTGAAACTTCCTGTAGTGATGGTGCGATGTTCCCTGTTGATTCATTTGCCGTGTGTACAGGGCCTCCAGAGCAGCTCTTGACAAACATATGCAAATCAGAGTGGAAATTAGCTTTTACTTCCTTCTAAGGGAATTTTTTCTTGGCTGCTGCCAAATCAGATCAGCCCAGTTAGCTGCCTTCAGTAGATTTCAGATTGGTAGCAGGGGCTGGAGGAAAAAAATCTCTGCATTTCACATTTATCTCAGAGATTATGGTAACCTGTGTCTGGCCGAGGGCAGGAGAAGCCTCTTTCTGGGGGGCTGGAGCGTGCCCCTGCTGGGTGTGAGCTCTTCAGTCTTCATGGAGCAGTTCAGTGGCTTGTGAAGCGCTGGTGGGAGCTGGGATTTGGTCACATCTACATGGCAAGAGCTGGGGCAGGGGTAGTGCCCAGATGGGGAGAATCTCAACCCAACTGAGAGCAGTTATCTGCAGCACAGCGCATCCTTGGAGCGTCACCCTGAACCGCGGCTCTTTAGATCCCAGTGACAAATTGGGTGGTAATACAGCAATGCTGAACGCTTGCCAGCAGCGTTATCAAGAGCAGAGCCGATTGCCCGGTAAATGCTGGCACTTGTGAGACAGGAGTGGTGGTTTCCTCTTAGAAGTTCTGGAAACTTATTGATGATCTAATGAATAATTAAGCAGCAGCGTTTTGCAGTGACACGCAGCTTCTGACGCTGTTGTCAAACCGCCAAGTGCTGTGAAGGTGTTCCGCACCGGTCCTGCTAATGGCAGATGTGGCTGTTTTGGGCAAATAGTGCATTTTCAGCCGAATTTTTGGGCCATAATATAATGAAGCAGCGTCTTTCCTCGGTGCTGACGTCCTTGAGGTGACAGTGCATAACATGTGGTGTGTTTCTGGCGTTATCAGAGCGACTTTACAAGCAGAACAGCTGATGAGGGCACAGTTTACACTGGCAGTGGTTAACCATGGTGTCAGCTGGCAGAGCAGGACAGAGGGCGTTCAAGATCACGCTGTACTTGGGGCTGGAAAGAAAGCTGCGGAGTCCAGAGGTGAGGCAAGGGCTCTGCTCCAGAGCAGCTGCAGATGTCACCGCTGCTTCCTCCCGGGCAGGATTTGGGTATTTATTGGTACAGCAGTGGGAATTCTGTGACGATCTTGGTGCTGCTACCTGTGAGATGAGCAGCAAATACAGCTTGTGCTGCTCCTCGCACTCCTTCACCAAAGCTGGTCTGCATTGCTGGGTCCGTTTGCTTGGTGCATTGCTTGACTGGGCTGTACACAACCTGGGTATTGAAATTCTCTGTTTTCTTCTTCATTGCAGCCATGGAAATAAAGAGGTGTTCTCCTGCCGAGGTATCCTGCTGGCTGTCCAGTGGTTTTGGGACCGGGGACACAAGGACATTACCGTCTTTGTGCCGTCGTGGAGGAAGGAGCAGCCGCGACCAGATGTGCTTATCACAGGTGTGGACATAGGAAAACCAAAAGTAGCTTTTCAGGCTTGCTGCTTTCTCAGTTAATGAGCTTGCGGAGTTCTGGCTGGTTAGTAATTAACTGGGGAATGGAAGAGCTGAGTAGCAGGAGGTGCAGCGAGCTGAGCTGACCATGAGAATTAGTCATTAACTTCCCTCAGCAAGTTCTTGCCTGGATCAGTCGGAATAATTCAGAGAACAAAACTGTGGCACTGCTGTGTGTTTGACACTGCACAGAATTGCTGCATGCTGAAAGTTAAAGCCTGGTGGGAGTTTAGTCAGAATCATTCGAGTGGAGGGGATTTTGCTCTGAACTTGCAGACAGCTGAGATTCCTGAGTAACTTCTCAAACCTGTGCGTGTGGTTTGGCGCTGCAGAAGCTGCTGCTCTGCCACTCCTCAGTGCAGATCCCTTTGCTGAGCAAGGGCTGTGTCACAGCCTCTGTGCAGTGCTCTGGGTGTTCTTGGGCGCAGTGCAGGCCCCAGTGCTAGGAATCCAGGTCTGGGAGAACACAGATGGGGTTGTGGAGATGTGACTTTACACGAATACTGTTGTTTATTTGTACTGTTATTTGTGCAAGGGCCTTTGGCTGGGTAATGTGTTCACAGCTGTGTCTGTTCCAGACCAGTACATTCTCCGTGACCTTGAGAAGAAGAAGATCCTGGTCTTCACCCCTTCCCGGCGCGTTGGAGGCAAGCGTGTGGTCTGCTACGACGACCGGTTCATCGTGAAACTGGCGTACGAGTCCGATGGCATCGTGGTTTCCAATGACACCTACCGGGACCTGCAGAACGAGCGTCCTGAGTGGAAGAAGTTCATCGAGGAGCGTCTGCTGATGTATTCCTTTGTCAATGACAAGTATGTTCCCATCCTTTGCTTGCCTTTGAAAGAGATCTGTGTGAGCATGCTGTCTTGTTTCAATGAAGCACAGCAAGTGAGGCATGGAAAGAGCGAAATGCTGGCACAGAATGAAAAATCCTGTAGAGATTTTTTTTTTGTATAAGTGTGGTGGGAAGAACTGTGGTGAGGGACAAGGGCATGAGGAGCTGGAGTCGTAGTGGTGGTTGTTCATGGTGTGGAGCTGGGAGCTCTGCTGTAGTGGAGATCCCAGCAGCTCCAGGGCTTGACTTCCCCACAGGACGATCATCGTCAGCCCCAGCAGTGGTGCTAATCCTGGTCAGCAGCAGCACAGCCTCTGGCTGCTCTCTGCTGGGTGAGGGGAGGGTTTTCTCTGCAGTGACGTGGGAAAGCTCTTAAATCTTCAGTGGGGTGAGAGGCTTTAAGAAGAAACGAAACCTTGACCCAGGAACACGAGCTGCTCCTGACTGAGATGTCTTTTTCTTCAGGTTTATGCCTCCAGATGATCCCTTAGGGCGACATGGTCCCAGCCTGGATAACTTCCTCAGAAAGAAACCTGTGGTGCCAGAACACAAGAAACAGCAGTGCCCTTATGGTAAGAGCTGCCCTCTGAACACGAGGACTGAGGTGTCTGTGCCAGCATAACTCACAGTTTAGTAAAATTCAGCTGGTCATCCCATGCTCATTCCATGCTCTGCCTTTCCTTGCAGGGAAGAAATGCACTTATGGAATTAAGTGTAAGTTCTACCACCCTGAGAGGATCAATCAGCCCCAGCGCTCGTTAGCTGATGAACTCCGAGCCAATGCAAGGTTGTCTCCTACGCGAAGTAGCAGTGCCAAGGAGGAGAAAAAGGGCAAAAGAGGTTCCCAGGCAGAGCTGTTGTGCTCTGTGTCCCCAGAGAGCGAGAAGAGCTCTTTGCAGAAGGTCTCTGCAGACAGGAAGAGCTTGGCCCACAAGGCAAAGCCCAGCGATGTTCCCCTTCAGGCCAAGGGCTGTGTGCCAGGCAGTGTCCCCCCCAGCAGCGGGAGCCACAGGTCCTGTGACCGGTACCAGCAGCCTCACATGGACTCTCTGTCCTACGTTTCTCAGGAGCATCTCGACTCAGGCATTGGGTCTCTGGAGAACCAACTGTCTGACATGTGGCCTTACAGATCCACGGGGCACTGTGACCATTCCCATGCTGAGCAGGTTGCAGTCTGCAGCTGTGGCAGGCAGAGACCCATCTACCCCCATTCTCCCAGCTTGGAGAATGGTCTGGTCTCCTATAAGCATGGTTCCCATAAATCTTCCTCCTCCTTCTTGCAGTATAGCCCCGAGATGTCTCGGTCGGGAGCCCCTCACTCCTTTTCAGGCTATGGGGTACCCATGCACCCAGCTAACGCTGGGCAGTACAGTCTGCCCAGTGAGTACAGCCCCCCTGCGCCCCATTCTCGCGAGTACTGGTCTGAACCGTACCCGATGCCTCCTCAGGTGAGATCCACTGCTGTGCGAGATGCTCACCCGGTGCAGAGAGCCCCGGGGCCGGCGTACGGGGACTCGTGCCAGTGGGCCGTGTCCGACCAGTTTGCTAAGGAGAGGGCCAACGTGCACGTCAAGCTGTGCGGCATCTTCCATCCCCACTTGGTCGATGCGGTCATGAGCCGTTTCCCTCGGCTCCTGGATCCCCAGAGGCTGGCAGCAGAGATCCTGACGTACAAGTCCCAGAACCCGGGTGTGTGAGGTGGATGCGGGGGCAGGCAGGGATGTGAGGGGCAGTGCTTCCTGCTGTAGCTGCCTTCCAGAGAGTGAGGAGGAGCCCTCGGAGGATGTGGTGTGTTCACAGCAAATCTGGCCTGGACCTAAGTCAGCCCTGGGGTCCTGTTGTCCCCAGTGGGGAAGCTCTGGGTGCTGGGCAGGAGAGGCTGCAGTGTCAGAGCAGGGTTTTTCCCGTGGGGTTACACCATGGACCGGGCACAACCTGGACTCCTCAGTTCAGGACCGATGTGACCCTTCTCCTCCAGCTTCAGCTCTGAGCTGGCTTTAGTGTGTGATCAACGCAGGGAGGGAGGACGGGGGGGCTGTGGCAGATAAGGGGGTGCAACCTTTGCAGTGGTGTGCAGCTTGTTTGTGAAGGCTGAAATGCATTGTCAAGGCTGTTCTTAGCTCTTAACTAAGCCTCTTTACTAAATCCTACCATGCCAATCTGTGGAAAACATTGGATTATAAATCCAGCATGCAGCTAGGTTTAGCTGACTTCAACTTGGTCTTGTTGGTGTGCCGCTGTCGCGATGCTTTCCGTGCCCTCCCACCTTGGCGTACCTTCCCAAACCGAGGTGGCTCCGTGTGTACCACAAGTGCTTGGAGCTGCTCAGCTCCTGGAAATCAGAGGAGCTGGGCCCTTTTTTGGGGCGAGGGGCCTGACCTGCTCCACATGAGATGTGTTCATGTGCTGAAAAGTGCAGTTGTCAGGACATGAGGGTGTTGGTGCTGCTGTGGTTGTGCCCTGTACAGCACTGACGAGGAGGATTCAATGATGTGCCTTTTGTCTTCAGACAGCAATAGCAATAACAGCAATAGCTGTAAACATTCGGCAGAGCAGCAATAGTCACATCTCCTCTGCTGTTCTGAGGAGTCCTTCGTATTTCTCTGTCAAGCTGTCACTTCATCTTCCTCCTTACTGGTGCTTTCCTGTCCCCTTCAGCTTTGTCAGACCACAGCAGCATCCAGAACCATAGAAGAAGGCTTACTTGGCGAGACTGTTCCCCTTTCATCCCCTCTTGCTGTGTGAGGTGTTTTTTACTGTAGATACTGTAACAGATTTTGAATATGCAAAACCAATTGCTGTAGTAATTGGTTCTGGTCCTGGGATTTCACTGTGCTTAGAATGCCCAGACGATTCTTGCACTCGGGGGCCAGAAGCAGTTGATTTGTTGATACACATTGTATCTGCGTGTTCTGTCGTTTGAAATACGTCCACCCCGTGGTCAGAGCGAGGTCCTGGAGTGGCGGGGATGGAGCGGGGAGCGCGGCCGTCCCCGAGGCCCCTCTTTGGGCCCGGCCGCGGCTGCTCCTGCCCTGTCCAAGGCGTGACCGACCCAGAGTGGCACCGTGTGCCGTGACAACCGCGGGGACACAAACCCGTATACCTGGTGATTACGATACATTACAAATGGGTAATGTGCCATGTTAGTAAGCAAAATGCTTCTTAATTTTAAGTAACCTGATACTTTGCATATTTGTAAATGACAGGAGAAATGGTTTTTAATGTTATTGTCCAGCAACTTGCTGCTTGCTGCTGTTTCCATTAGGACTTCTCGACCCGGCCGCCGCGTTCCTCGGCAGGGGTTTGTTCCGGTGCACATCTGCTCTGCCGTCAGAAGGTGAACATTTTGTACTCACTGGCACTCTCCTGAACTCTGTCACTGTGCAGTATGTAGCTTGTGTACTGAGCGGAGGCAGCCGTGTGAACGACCTCGTGTTGTATCAATAAAAACTGCTGAGTTGAGCGCTTTGGTCTCTCATGGGTTTTTGGACAAACACACAACATCTTGGCTGGCTTTCTGGGAAAGTTGGGTAAGTCACCGTTCCTCCTGGGGTTCCTCTGATCTTAGGTCTCCAATTGCAGTCTGGTGGCCGGGTATTGACAGGATTAATTAACACCACTTGTTAATTAATGCCATGTGGCAGTGGCAGGTCCAGTGTTCACTGTTCTGCTCTACTGGTGTCTCTGGAGGTTGGGGGCAGCAATGCCCTGGCTCACAGCTCCCACTGCAGCGGTGCTGGTGTCTCAGTGCCGATGAGCAGTGTACTCATTAATTATTTTGGGATAAATACTGTGGGCTGTGCTTCAGTTGTGAAGGCTGGTTTCAATGCATGTGTATTTTATCCAGTTGTGTAGCACATCTGGGCCAGATGTTGAGCATGGACATGAGTGTGTGCTGTGACAGGTCAGGACTTGGCTCTGAACCTCTCATGAACTGGGAGGGAGGTGCAGCAG